CACTATTGTTGCCCCACTTGAGTGGCAGAGGCCATGACACCAAGGGGCAGAGTGGTGAAGGACCCTAAACAAGCAGGGGCACAATGGGTCCCCCCTTTGTGGCACAGGGCCCCAGGAGAGATCTCATGTGGGGACTCTGCTGTCTCTATCTCTTTGTTTTAATCAGCTTATTTTTAATTTTCTTGATTTTATAATAAAAGTTTTCAGTAGAATCTTAGTAAGAAATACATTAGAGATTTAAAACTTGCACATTCACACCATATTCAATCATGCGTAGTCCTAAAGAATGCTTCTCACACTAACAATAAGTTTCACCACTAGGAAAAACCAGCTAAAGTTTTTGCCAGTTCAAGTTTAAAATTACATTCAACATTCTGTGTAGTTTCGGTCAGGGGCATTAAGACCTTTAGAAAATTAGCAAAAATGCAATTGAGGGCTAAAGGAATAGTATTAGATCATAAGCAGAAATTGAACTAGATGTTTTGTATGGAGAAGTTTTTGGTATAAGGAAGTTGTTCTGTTTCTTCTTGGCTACAAAACTTTTTCATGCTTCTTGTATTTCTTGTTTAATCAATCATGAGAAACAATTGTGTTGTCAGTTACCATAGCAAATAATGTCTAGGTACATGTTGTGATTAATGAATCTATAAAAAATTATAGGTGAAGGCAGAAATAGGAGTTAAGATTTAGAATTATGTTTTAAGGTTAACGTGACATTTTTAGAGCAATGAGGTTTGCTTACAGAAATCAGATATTGTCTAACTAAGTAAAGGGGTACAAGGAAGATTTTGATATTCTTGATGTTCTATATTGAAATGATTAATATGTATGATTTAGACCACTACTTTGAAAAGAATGATTAATAGATTGATGGTATAGAGTAATAGAAAAGCTGCTTGAGAATCTGAAATAGGCAAGAGGAAAAATAAAATGTGAAGGGAAAAAGAGGAGAAATAAAATGTGAAGGGAAAGAGAGGAGAAATAAAATGTAAAGTGTGAGAGGAATAATAAAGTGTGAGAGGAGAAATAAAATGTAAGAGAAGATTCACCATCTAACAAGATTCATCGATTCTGTGAGCTTCATTCTTCACCGACATCATACCTCCTTCTAGAACCCCCAAATAAAAGTGTCGGAGCTGGCTTCCGACACTTGAGTCCATCGATGCTGCCACTTGGCCAATCCATCTCATTGGGGGTTTTCCTCTTTTTCTCTGACCCTCCACCTTACCAAACATGCTATCCGTCTCCAGCGACTGCTCCCTCCTGACAATATGTCCAAAGAATGAGAGACGAAGTTTGGCCATCTTGGCCTCTAAGGAGCACTCTGGCTGCACTTCTTCCAAAACGGATCTATTGGAATGAGGCATACTGGACTCTAAAGCTGGGATTGGTTAATTTTGACCTCCAGCTAGGCTTACAAGGAGTCATCAGAAGCAGAGACTGAAGACCGCAGGACCATCAAGCAGGAAGAGCATTGAGTGGAGCATGAGATCCCTACCTAGAGAAACAGCGATGGCAGAGGTGACAGCAGAGGCAGTGTCTAGGAAACAGAGCAGCCTCAGGCGCTAAGCCCAGGTACTGAGTAAAGCTGAGTATCTGCCCGGAGGAGACTGGCTGGCCTACAGAATGTGCCCTTTGGGCATTCACAGACTGGCTAAAAGAGCTTTGTAACCCTTGCTCTGGAGCAGGACAGAAGCCAAGGGGCCACAAGGCTGAGAGCCATGTGTGCTGGGCAGCAGACAAGAGGTGTACCTGACCGGAGAACTGCTGCATCCCAAGTTGGTTTTGACCACTTCCCTAATAAACCCTGTAATCGTGAGTGTAATTATGAGTTCTGTGTGGCCATTACAATGGACTATCGAACCCAGATGTAAAGCAGAGAGTTGTGAGAGGAATGGTTGGTGTCAGAAAGGGTAAAGAAGGTTGTAGGGTAGAAGAATGTCTGATCTCCGCTTCATAGGACTCCGCCTTGGGCTGATTTTGAGTTTGATTCTCTTTTCCCCTTGTGAAGCCAGGGGAAGTCACATGGTCCCCACATGGTTTCTCCACCTCAGAAACTCTTCATAAGATCGCTATGTTTCAGAACCCATTGAAAGGCACTTAACGAGTCAGATGATCATATGGTTCTTTTTATTGATGGGGGGTTCTGTTTATTTTCTAGTGTTGAGCCACCCCTGCCTTCCTGGAATACATCTCACTTGGTTAGGCTGCCTCTTTTAATATGCTGAATTCTGTGTCCTCATACTTTGTTGAAGATTTTTAGATTTGTTTTCATGTAGTTTCCTTTTCTTGTGGTGTCTTTGTCTGGTTGGTACCAGGGTTGTTTGCTTCATAGAATGAATTAGAGAGTATCTCTTCCTACCCTATCTTTTGGAATAGACAGAATTGATGTCACTTTTCTAGATGTTTAGTGGAATGTGTATTGTGCTGTTTTCAGGTGGAGTGTTCTAGACATCTGTTAAGTCTAGTTGGTTTCTAATGTATTCAGGTCCTATTACCTTATCTTTCCAGTTGTCCTGTCCAATATTGAAAGTGGTGTATTGAAGTCTCCAGTTATTACTGTTGTTGTTAGGTGTCATCGAGTCAGTTCCAACTCATAGCGATCCTGTATAACTTTTCCGAGGAGCAGCTGGTGGGTTTGCAGCCCAATGCTTATCGTAGAGGGCCACACCAGAAGTACAGTGTTTGCTTTATATATTTAGGTGCCTCAATGTTGGGCACTGAATTAACTTTTTATTACTGCCAGAAAGTTAACTTAAAACAATAAAAATTCATTCGCTCACAATTTCTATAGGTCTTCTGTTTAGGGCCTCCCAGGGTGAGACTGAAGTGTCGTCAGGGACTGCGTGTCTTTCTGGAGTCTCTGGGGGGGAGGGGGGGAGAATCTGCTCCCAAGTGCATCCAAATCCCTGTTTCCTTCCAGGCTTTTAGCCTGGGGCTACTCCCTATCAACTGCTGTGATCTCCATGTAGAGTCTGACCCATTCGGTGACTTCTACAGAACAAAGCCCTGGAGCCCTGAGTCCATAAAGATAACAGCCCAGACCAAAAACCTAAGGAGCAGAGTACTCTGTCGCATACAGCTGCCATGTTGTTGTTGTGTGCCGTGGAGTCGGTTCCGACTCATAGTGACCCTGCACAGGGTTTCCGAGGCTATAAATCTTTACGGGAGCAGAAAGCCTCATCTTTCCATGCGAACAGCTGGTAGTTTCGAATTGCTGACCTTGCGGTTCGCAGCCTGATTTGTAACCACTACGCTACCACAGCTCCTTCCTTACAGCTGCCATGAGTAGGAATTAATTCAATGGTCAACAGGCTTGGTTTGGCTTTTGGCTTCGCGACTTTAGTAAAAACAGCTGTGGCTCTTAAAGTCTGAATTGTTAATGCACTTAAATGAAAACTCTTGAGGTAATTGTGGGAGAGCCTTGTAAGGTTGCTAGTAGGAGAAAAAGGCAAATTAAAGTGATCCAGGAACAGAAAATAAGATTGGTGTCATATGCATTTAAAACGCGTATCTGCAGTTATAGCTCGGACAGTTTAGTGTTTTCATTAATATATTTATTACAGCAGGTCTTTAGTCATTATTGCCATGAAAAATATTACATGAAATTTCGCAAAATCATTTAAGCTATTAGTATTAGCTTTTTCCTTCTTATGGAGTGACACTTCGTTAATTTATGAAATATTTACAGCGCTTACAAAAAGCAAGAGGATGTCTAATAAAAATTTTTATACTTACAGAATTCATACATTATACTACTGCATTTGAGATGCTTTATTTGGTAGATCAATTAAGCTATGAAATAAAATAATTTACAAAGAAATATTTAATCTCTCTTAATTCATTGAAAACAAAACCATATTAGCTATAAATAGTCTTTTACAAATCATTGTAAAATGCATTAATTGTTTAAACTCTAGGCTTAACTTTTACAAATATACTTACTAAATGAATTAGTTCAGATATCAAATAGAACTGTGCATTTAAAATTTCATTTAATACTACAAAAAGAAAAAGAAAATAAAAAACAATGAGACAAAAACACCAAAAAACCTGAAAAAAGCAAACTGCTCGGTGCTTCAAGTAAAAATGTGTAGAACCAGTTTGTATGCACACTAGAGGGGAGGGACACCCGACACTATTTCAGCAGAAAATCATTCAGCACAATACTGGAAGGACTACACTCAACAGATACACCCATGGGCACTTCTTTCCTTCCAAGAAAGAGGCTCCAAAGAGCTCCCAGACGCAAGATGGCAAGCCCTCCTTCGGTAGATGAACGGGCTGTGAACCAGTCACATGGAAGGACCATCGTGTGGTACCCTACACAGTGCTGCTGGCCACAACCTGAAAAGCAGGCTGAATTTTAGGTGAGCTCATGAAAAATTTAGAAATTTAGAAAACAGAACCGGTTAAGTTTTAAAAACAGAACAATGAAATCACATGTAACCGGGTCCCATTAGTCTTAATATGAAAATATGCTTCTCTTGGAAAGGAGGGGAAAACACTCCATATTCCCAAATTTCAAAATAATGAGCAAAACTCATCTGTGCCGTTCCTGCTCCTGGAATCACCACCTCCCGTGGCCCAGCGTTTGGCAGTTTGTTCAACACCTTGCTTTAGGAGAGTGCCTACCTGGGGGAGCTCTATTGATGTTAGTAGTATCACACACCTTTCACCTTTGGACTTGTTTAGGTCCAAAGGCACCGTCAGAAGCAGCTTAGGGGAGACCCCATTTCACAAACACATTTCCCTTTTAACTTAAAATAATGTGGTTTCAATGCGTCCCACCCAATCCATATTGTACACAGAGTATTCGTACAGAGACGAATGAATGGGAATTTTATCGTTGCTCATTTAATGGTGTCAGGATTTTCCAAATCATCACCTGGCTCCTTTCCTCGGATTGCCGAGCGGGTTCTATGTTTCTGGTAATATGTATTGTAGAAGGCACATACTCAAGAGTTTAAGGCTAGGTTAGTTTGAGTTCTATATGGAGGCAAGTATTTTATTCTACTTTGTACAGATACAGGAGATCAAAGTCAGATATTTCCTTCATGCAGAGGTGGAACTCGATGCCAGGGTTGCCGTTCAGAAGTGAGTTTGCACGTGGGGCATCATTTGGGAAGGACTTGATGGGGAAGTCGGGGGATCTGAGATCTTGGCTGAGTTGGTGATCTGCAATTCCTCCAGCCGTTTGATGTATTCATCTCGCAAAGCTAAGAGCTCCATGTAACGTTGTTCCACTGGATTCGGCTGCTGGAGAGAACCAGAAGACAGAAGTTACTGCTTTCCACTGCTCAGCTCCCAAGACCACACCTAGACCACACTGCTACTGCTGCTGCTGCTTTAGGGAGAAAACATAAAAATACACTATCAAACCCACTGCCTGCAAGGGGATTCCAAACCATACCAAGTGTAAAGAGCAGAGTAATCTTTATGGGCGCAGATGGTCACATCTTCCTTCTGCAGAACAGCTGGTGGGCTCAGTGAGCACTCAAGCGCTTAGCTACTGCACCACCAGAGCACTTTAGGATTAACGTATGCTATTTAAAATACTTACTGCCTAATGTAAACGAACAGAAACACACAAAAAGTACACAAACACACACCTATGTATTTGTTGTTGTTAAGTGCCATCGAGTCGATTCTGACTCACAGCGAAAGAGGAGCGGCTGATAAGTTTGAACTATCAACTTTGGGGTTCAAAGCGACCTGTGGTTCAGCGCCTATCCTGCAGTGCCACACCATCCAGACATAATAAGTGCAAATCCCCTGCCACACTTGTGTCAGAGTCTTTTTAGAAATTTTCAATGTAGAGACAGCTAAAGTCTCCTGTATCACTTGTCCCCAGGCTCTCCGCCCTTCTGGAGTTGGCAGGCAGCCTTCCTGGGCAGACTTATGCTCAGTTTCTAATAAGCAAGTATCCAAAACAGAACACAGTATTGTTTTATATGTTGTTCAGATTGGTGTCACAGATATCATCCTGGATTTCATATGGACATTTTGGACCCAACATTCTCCTTCTGGACTATATACTGAATCTAGTGACCCAATAAAGCACAATGATAGGTAACTGGCTACTTCTAGGCTCCCCACTATCATACACAATGCCGGACCATGCTCCACTTGTGGGGGTTTCTTGAGAGGTGGCATTGGTTGCTAGGGAGTACAGTATGGGCCTTGTCCACTTCACTTGATGTCCGTTGTGGACATGGTAAATTTCACTTGCTGTCCCATTCTTTCTGATGCCTCTTCTTACTATACCCAATGTTCACAGCTACATGGGTTTGTTTCTGGGCTCTATTCTGTTCTGAGAATGTCTAGGGTGAGGTCCTTCCTCTGTGTTCTCTTCTAAAATTGTCTTGGTTCTTGGTCAAGACTTCCTTTTTTCTTATGAATTTGAGAATCAGTTTGAGTTTTGTACTGGCAAGTACAATTAGACAAGAAAAAGAAATCCGTGGTAAAAGTCTAATTTTTGTAGATGACATAGCTGTTAAATTAAATCACTTGAGAGAGTAAACAGAACTATCAGAAATAAAAAGATCAGTCTATTAACATTAGCCCACAGACAACCAACATTTACAGGGCAAAACAGAAGAAAAACAGTCTATTTGCAATAGCATAAAAGAGCCAAAAAAGTTAAATTTAAAAGCAAGCAACATTCAATTGATTTCTCACATGGCAATAGGTCATCAACCGGGGACATCAGTCTTCAGATAGATTCTGCTGAGTTTTTATGTCAAAGCAAGGGTGGTAGTTTTTGCAGTGCAAAACCACCAGCTGCTCCGCAGGAGAAAGAAGAAGTTGTCTGCTCCCCTAGAAGTTTAGTGCTTGCTTCTGAAACTCTACGGTCACTAGGAGTCAGAGTTGACTCAATGACAGGGAGGCTAATTTCACCCCGTTTTCTTCTAGGTTAAGAGCTCATGATGGGAGGAATTATATATTCTTTTGTGTCTTTTGACATTGATCAGCAGCCCCTAGTTGTGAATACCATGTATACCCAATAATTGTTTATAGACCAACAGGGTCTCTGGACTGAGTAACAATTTGACTTTTAAGTGATTAAGTCCATTCTTGTAGGTTTACAATTATTTCATGAAAGAGTCCTATGTAGTTGAATTTTGATCTATTTCTGTATGAAACCTAAACAGATTTTTTAAGAAAGCTGAATGTACAGCAGTTGTGGTGTGGCACTATAGGATCAGCACTGGACTGCTAATCACAAGGTTGGTGGTTCAAACACAGTAGCCACTCCTTGGAAACCCCATACAGGTTGGTCGAAACCAACTTGACGACACTTAACAGCAGCAACAACATAAAGGAAAAGAAGCCCCGGTGTCATAATGAGTTAGGCTGCTTACTGCAGAAGCAAGATTGAGGCCGTCTGCTCCTGGAAAGATTGAGAGACTCTGAAACCCTAGGGAGCAGCTCGACTCTGTGCTCTCGGGTTGCGGTGAGTTGGAACTGACTCAATGGCAATGGGATTTCAATAGGGAATGTAAGGGAAAGAACCCTGGGGGTGTACTCATTAAGTGTTCAGCTGCTAACTAAAAAGTCAGTGATCAGAACGCAACAGTGGCTCCGAGGGAGACAGATGTGTCAGTCTATGTCTGTAAAGCTTTGGCAAACCTATGGGGGCATCTCATCTCTGTCCTACACGGTTACTAAGAGTCGGAAGAACAACAACAGTGCCCTTAGTCTACACATCTATCATCACATTTATCCCACTGCCTTATCAGCTGTTCATGTCTTGGAGCTTCCCTGCAGGCCTGCTCCTTCCGAGTCTCTGTGTCCTGCCAGCGCCCAGAGCATGGGGATGCCCAGTACTTGGGAGAGGAAAAGACACTATGCCGAAGGACACAAAAATGAGCCTCAAATTGTGCCCAGTCAGAAAACCTGCTCAGAAAGGAGCAATTGCTTTCTTCTTTCTGTAAATTGCAATAGATCAAAATATAAACTAATTATTCAAAGAAATCACCCAGTTCATCTGTCTACCCGAGGGTGAGCCCCACTATCTGGCCCAGCTCCACCCATGAAGCTCCAGGAGAAACAGGATAACGCAAAAGAGCAAATTCCTCTCAAGATGTCTGGTGCTTCGAACTTAACCTGTCACAGATGTACTATTACTACTGCCTTTATCCATTTAGAAATGAACTGCTCCAAATCCCCTGAACAGCAAGAACGACTTCCCAAAGAAATGGGTAAGGGAAGATGGCAGAGTCTGTACAGAACTTTTTAAATGCCCAGGGTGGCTTATTTTACAAACACAGAGCTCCTCTAGGAACTACTGCTTACTTAGAAAAGGACCATGATTTTCATAATAGCACTCTGTACTTGATATTCCAAACGCCACAACTACTACTAAAGACATTCCCTCCATGTGCTTCTCAAATCCCAAACGAAACAAGTGAATGTTTTCCAGCTCTGGAATCTGTCACTTTCCAGAAGAATACACATTTCAACCATTACTAAGTGGCAAAAGCCTTTCATGCAAGTGAGAGGCCCCGAAGTGCCAGTGCCAGATTGAAGCTGGCATCAGGCCCACTGCCTGAGTGGAATCAACAATCGGGGTGCCAGGCTGCAGCAGAGCACAGTCCTGCTCTTGCCATGGGATAGTTCCATGGAATTAAAGGCAGCACTTCCGCAAGACTGGCCTGGGAGAGCAGCTAGTGGAGCATCTGAATCTTAGACAACAGTGCAAACTTGTAAGAAGAGCCGCCACAAGTGCAGGCGAGACTTAACAACAGAGCACTAAGTGGAGAGCCTTTGGAGATCCCTCCTTTTCTCCTTGCTTTTGGAATTGGGCGGGGGCGATGAGGATGGGGAGAATGAGAAGCTCAAGTTTATCTTTAATAAACTGTGGAGTCTTTTGTTGCCACAGTGAATTTGCTGTTCACGGAGAGCGCAATGATCCTTCTTTCAGACTTGTAAGCAGCACCAGCTGCCGTGGAGTCGGCACTGACTCATGGCAACCCTAAGCGTGTCAGAGGGATTCTCAAAGCTGTGACCTTTTCAAAGTACACCTCCAGCCATTTCTTCCGAAGAGCCTCTGATGGACTCAAACCACCCATATTTCTGTTAGTTGAGCACTATCCAGGGCCTCCTTTAGAAATATAGGCCTTCCAATTAAAAACAACAACAACAACAATCTCTCTGTCAGTTAACCTAATATGTATGTTGTTGTGAAGTGCCATTGAGTCGGTTCCCACCCATAGCGACCCTGTATAGCATTTTCGAAGAGCAGCTGGTGAGCTTGAACCGTGCAGTTTATACGGCTTTGCAGTCTGGCGCGCTAACCCACAGCACCACAAGCTGATCCAATAGTGGTCACTGTAAAGAAGTTTCCAGTAATAGATATGTGACGTATAACAGCTTCAAGTGATTATAGCAAATCCTTGGCTATCAAAAGGCAGACATTTTCCAGAGCTTTAAATCAGCTTACACTTTAATAACAAGTATGTTGTTATTCATGTGGCACCGAAATGTAAGTGACACATCAATCCAAATAAATCGGTTAGTACTTAGAAACAAACTCACAGACAGGGTTTTGTGTCTGATATTTTTCTGGTACTGCTATTTAAAAACACACCTAATAACATAATCTAACAGCCCAGAAGGAATAGTGAAGGCAACACTATCTTTGCACAGTGTCATTTAACTTACTTGTGGCTTGATTCTGGGGTTCCATCTAATGTAGTAATTCACCCAAAGCTCCAAGTGGCGCATACTAGCGACTGGGTATAAAATGCGGTTGATTTCTTTCGTATAGAAAGGATTTTTGAATTTTTCTTTGTTGCTGTTTATCAGCGACCATAAGGAAACAGTTCTTTCTGTAACTTTCTACAAAAAAAGAAGTTGAAAACATGAGATAAACACACACACACACACACACACACACACACACACGAGGGGACTCCAAAAAGTTGGTGGGAAAAGTCCATTATGTCTTTATTCCACTTTTCCATGAACTTTTTGAAACCCCTTTATAAAATGCTTTACAAGCTCTGGCCATCTAGAACTAGTACTGCTCTGTGCAGAGGCCCACACATTCACGGTATCCCCCGTCCTGAGCCATGGACTTCTGCAACCCAAAGATAGAGGTGCAGGATGCTGGGACGGTCAATGCATTTATAACAGATGGGTGCTCTCTTTTTTTAGTGAAAAGATACACAAAAAAATCAACACCCACTTAACAATCTCCACATGCCTAGTACAATGACATTGGTTACAACCCTTGTATTATACCACCATTCGCTTTAGACTTACTGCCCCTAAATGTTTCATCGCTGCCCTAGCGGTTGCTACTGCTGTCAAGTTCATCTCAGACAGATAACTTCAGGGGAGAGTTTCTATCCAAGGTGTAACAGGTTTGGGGGTTCCTTAATGCACTGGACTGCATAGTAGGTTTGAACTGCAAGGTCAAAGGTTCAAACTCAGCAGATACTCCTATACAGGGTCGCTGTGGGTAGGAACCGACTTGACGGCACTTAACAACAGTAACAACCAGTCTCAGAGGGTTCAGAAAGCCTGGTTTTCACAAGAATTTGAAATCAGTTCCACATTGTGTCGTCTCTGGATCAGGATCCTTCTACTGTGTCCTTTGTTAAAACGTTCAGATATGGTAGCCATCACAGCAAAGGAGGTAGCAGTGCATAGAGGAATGTAGATCTGTCATCTTATTTCTTCCTCCAATTCCTGGGGCTTCCTCTTTGGCTTCAGGTCACCTACAAGCTCTGAAGATTCCAGGCACTCCACCCCAAACTAGGAGGTAAAACAAACTCAAAACACAATATGTGTCTAAGTGACTGGCTAGATGCACTAAACTATGACCCGAGGCCTTCAAACCACACAAACCAACATCCTGAGGTGTTTAGTTGTAACTGACTAGCATCAGCAGTTGCAACCTTTGTGTGTGTGTGTGTGTGTGTATGGGGGGGGCTGCTGTTACTGACGTAAGATTATTTTTAACATTACATTTGCCATGCCATCTTTTTTCTGGTATGCAACTTGTTTACATTCATCAAGTTGGAGAGCTATTACTCTTTTGTTATTATTACTAGGTGCCATCAAGTCGCTTCTGACTCATAGCAACGCTGTATAGGGTTTCCAAGGAGCAGCTGGTGGGTTTGAGCTGCTGAACTTGCAGCTCAGACTGACCATGTGGTCCAGAGCATCATCCTGCAGTGCCACACAGGAACTCGGAGTTGGTGCCAATTTTCCTATCACCTTAAGCTAAAACTCACTCTTTCTCCTCCTCAGAGAATAATTTCCTCCCCTGTCCCCATCCCTGGTAACTACTAATGACCTCTGTTTTGATCCATTTGCCTACTCTGCTCATTTCATCTAAGTGAGAGCATACAGTATTTGACCTTTTTGACTAAGTTTTTTCACTCAGCATGTCTCTGAGATTTACCTATGGGCATAGCATATACCATGACTCTTAATTTCCTTGATAACTGAAAACTACTCCACTGTACATATGAGGGGGCTTCAGCAAGTTCATGACAAATTCCATTATCTTTTCATTCCATTTTTCCTTGAACTTCCCCACTTCTACGTACCACATTTTGTTTTTGCATTCATCTATTGCTGGGCACTGTTGATAACAATAGTGCGGTAGTGAACATTTGTGTACCGGTCTTTAGGTGGACATATATTTTTATTTTGCTTGAAATAAGACATTTATTTATTGCAATTACTGGTCCTGGTTGGTGCTGTGAATTAATGCGCTGGACCTCAAAGTTGGTTTGAACCACAAGGTCAGCAGTTCGAGCTCACCTCGGAAACCCGACACAGGGGTTGCTATGAGTTGGATCCGCCTTGACAGCACTTAACAACAACAACGTGGTAGTTCTGGTGTGACGCTGTAGGATAGGCACTGGACTGCAAGGTTGATTGGAACCGCAAGGTGGCAGTTCAAATACACCAGTCATTCCTCAGAAACCCTATACAGGGTTGATCTGAGTCAGAAATGACTCCATGGCACTTAACAACAACAATGGTAGTCCTATGTTTAACTTTTTGCAAAATTGTCTGTTTTCCACAGTGGGTGCACCATTTTACATTCCCACCAGTAATGCATGAGGTTCTGATTTCTCTATCTCCTTGTTAATAGAGATCATTCTTACAGGCTCCTGTCTGAAAAACACAGTGCCAGAGTTCTAGGAGTCAAATGGGTTAAGGGAGCTGGGACTCCCAACAGTCAGCACTCGGCTGTTTGCCTTGGGTCCGGAGTGCTCCCGCAGAAAGGAGTGCTCCAGTACTCTGAGAAGGTTGAGGGAACTTAGGAATCTAAATAGATCTGCACCTGATTTTATTCTTCTCCCTCCACCCTGGATGCCTGGTTCAGTTCATCTCCAATTCCTCTGGACTTCCTATGATGCAAAGTGGGTTAGTTTTTGTCTTTCTTTACTGCTGTTTAAGATTCGGTTATCTCAATTTTTTTTATCATTATCTACTGCTCTCCCTGGAGTCCTGGTGTGGCGCTATGGGTTAATGCACCAGACTGCACAGTTGTTTGAATCTCAAGGTCGGTGGTTCAAGTTCACCAGTCACTCCTTGGAAACCCTGTACAGGGTCGGTATGGGTCAGAATTGACGCCATTGAACAACTGCTCTCCAGCTGTGTCTCTTTCCTTCTTTGCCCCATTCTTGCAGGTTTATTCTGGGCTTTAAGAGGCCCTTTTGATTTCTGGTCTTTTGTACTCACATGTCTCTCTCGAACGGATTCACAGTTGTACAAGAAAGTCCCGTACCGGCAACTATACAGATGATCCAGAATTGTAATCAAAAATAGTTCGTTGAATTCAAAAGCTGTAGGAAACTAGAGAAAAACAAGCAAGTAAACAAAATATGAAGAACTGAGATTGATCTTTCAGGTACCAGAAAAGATGCATCATAGAAGTGAACAAATGTGGCTCCGGTGTAGTGCTCCAGAAAGGAGAACCATGCAGCTCATTGGCTGGTGTTTTGCCCGGTACCAAAACGTTTGCATTAAATGTGAAGTAAGGGGATAAAGAGGAACAGCAGGAAAACTGGACAGTTTCCTAGGTTCCCCTGAGTACACAGGGCATATACCAAACCCACTGCCATCAACCAATGCCGACTCATAGTGACCCTGTAGGACCGAGTAGAACGGCTCCATAGAGTAGCCTTTATAGAAGCAGAGCAGCTGGTGTATTCGAACTGCTGACCTTGCAGTTAGTAGCCCAATGCTTAACCTGCTGTGTCACTAGGATTCCCTATACAGGGTATAGGATGGTGATGGTAGTGGTGGTAGTTGTGTGCTGTGGAGTTGGTTCCGACTCACAGCGACCTTGTTTAAGGTTTCGGAGGTTGTAAGTCTTTACGGGAGCAAGAAAGTTTCCCCTTTCTCCTGCAGAGTGGCTGGTGGGCTCACGGTACAGCTCCACCAAGGTTTCATAGTGGAGCATGTACGTAAAATACAATGTGGCATAGTCAACACCACGACTCTTGCATTAGTAGTAAACCACTGCCATTGAGTGGCTTTCAACCCAGATGGACCCTGTATCCCAGGGTTTCTGAGACGTAGATTTGCCTGACAGCAGATAGCCTCAGGGTTCTCCCATCCACTGGTAGAGAAAATACAATGACATGTTTATATTTTAAATTTATATGGAAAGTACCACCCAAATAAATACCAGTGAGAACAGAAAACTGAACTGTCATGTTCCCAACGCCTACTTCAACTGCCGTTCACACATGGCCCATCTTGCTTCCATCTTGGTCCCTTGTATCGTTCTGAAGCAAATCCCAATATCATATCCCCAAATTTAATTTTAAAATGAATTCGAATGTATTTTCATCCTACCTGTTCCTTACCTGTTTTGACATTTGCCACACACAATCAATAAACTGCAGAAAAATAGGAGACCGGTCTGCATCGGCGTGGTTTTTATCTCCATGACCTATTCTCTGAAAGGAATCAGTGGAGATGAGTTGCTTTAGTTCACAGGCACACATCTGGAAGAAGCACACCACTTGCTCTTGAGTCGACTCCGACTCATGGCAGCCCCATTTGTAGCAGGGGAGAAGTGTGCTCTACAGGGCTGTCAGTGGCTCCGTGTTTTGGAAGCCTGGGTTTCCTTTCAAGGAGCCTCTAAACTCAACCCACCAACCTTTCATTTAGTGGTCTAGCGTTTCACTGTTTCAATCTACCAGGGATGCATACAACTCCCAAACTGTGATCACACCGGACAGCAATCTGCCTTCGAAAGCCAATTGTCTCAGAGAGCTGACAGGATCCTGTAGCTTTCCCTGTGGCAATAGGGACAACTAATGAAAGGCTGTGAAATCACAGTAGTAGATCTCTTTCTGTTCAGCTCTTGTGTGAGGGTAACAACTGTTTCCTAACACTGCAATGCTGTACATGTCAAGTCGTGGACAGCCTCAGAGAGAAAGGCCTGGGTTATTCAGCATGGTAGGCTACTAAAACACACAATGGGGGCTCCCCAAGGGAGTTCTTTCTGTTGCTAAGGGACCAATCCCAAAGTTTCAAGACTTAAAACCATGTCAGAAAGGTGGGATTATGGTAATTAAAAGTCAGTTATTTCTTCCTTAAAAATGAACAAAAATCTCACCTTGATTCATGTACTACACACTGATTCCTTCTCCCACCTAGGTAGGGTATTAACAGGGAGGAAGGAGAAGCCTTCCGCAGCAGGGTTTCTGACACTGTGGTCTATGGGGCCCTTTAGGAGATTCTCCTGGGAGTTAGTTTCAAAAGCTTACTCAGAGGACCCCTGGAGGGGGGATCTGCGACTAGGAAATTTGACACCTGCTTGAGGTGAATTTTCGGACCTGTGCCAAAAAACCACATGAATGGCCTCCGATAAAACTGTATCATTTTTTATGAAAGCGATTAGGCTCTAGTAGCTCTAATTCCACATACACATTCCCCAGCTCTTTGTAGCCTTTGCAAGTGGACTTGCAGCGTGGACGCGGGCAACTGTGTCTCTTAAAGACACTGAAACACTCACAGTGTCAAAGATCTACAAAACCCTAAAGTGATTTGTGTGACCTGCCTCAGATTTTCATCTTAAAAAATACTTCATGCTATAAAGGCCCTTTTCTAATCTTGCTTCACAATTAGCTTCAGGATTTACTTACAGATGCAAATTTATGTCCAAAGCTTATCCATTCTTTCTGTACCAAGATTTCGAAGCCTTCAATGCTCCGGTAGAAGCTGTCCAACATCAGCATGGCCAGGGACGTGAGCTGGGCTGTCCTGTCCCAGCCATCACTGCAGTGCACCAGCACCGAGCTCTTCCCTGAAGACACCTTGTCAGCCACCTGAATGGCTCCTGTCAAAACCAGCTGCAACAAGCAAAATGTCGAGCTGTAATATACTATTTACTTTTGAAACGCTCTTTTGTAATTCCAGAAAAAGTCTGATTTGGAGGCTGCTGCACCAGGAGTGCCACTGTGTACTGAAACACACCTAAGTATTCCAAAGAGGCGACTTTCTGCTCCCACAAGTGTTTACAGCCTCGAAAACCCTATACAGGGGCGCGATGAGTTGGAGCTGGATTCGACAGCACTTAAAAATATAACCACCACCACCACAACAAGGTATTCAAAAATCACAAATAAATAGGAAGCCAGGCTGTATTCAACACTGGTTTTCCTATCAATCAACTCTCAGGCCCAGTGTAGACTTTCAAGGCCAGATATAATGGAAACCATTTCCGGGCCTTTACACTGACAAAAGATGAACTCTAATTTGACTCAGAAATAGAGGAATACTTATCTTAACGATCAGATGGTGGCAATCTAGCAAAAATTTGAAGTTTAGAAGTATTACTTAGTCTATGTATACAAAGAGTCACTGCTATGATTTTTTTATTTGTTTGTTTTGGATGCTTCCAGAACTTGCTTAGGTAGATTTTACAAGCCACATGAACATGCAGTTCGGGAAGATCTAGTAAATTCATACAGTTCCACCACCCCCACCGGTATCCAATGGTCAGATACTTTCATCCCCCCCACCCCCCACCCCCATGCTCATTAGAGGTCAATCCCCTATCTAACAACCTCAGGCAACCAATGATTTGCTTTCTGTCTCTATGGATTTGCTTCCTGTGGCCATTTCATATAATGTTTGTTCTTTTATGACTGAATTATTTCACTCAAAGGAGCCCTGATGGCACTGTAGGATAAGCACTGTGTTGCTAACCTCAAGGTAAGCAGTTCAAACCCACCAGCCACTCCGTGGGAGAAAGAGGAGGCTTTCTGCTCCTGTAAAGATTTGCTGTTGTTGGTGGTGAACTGCCATAAAGTCAGTTGTAAGTCATAGCGACACTGTATAAGGTTTCTGAGGATTGGCTGGTAAGTTTGAACCACCAAGTTTGCAATTCAAACCAACCTTGCGGTACAGTTCTTATCCTACAGCGCCACCCCAGGACTCCTCAGAAACCCAGCATTGGGTCACCATGAATCTGAATTGACCCCATGGTAGTGGGTTTGGTTTGGGGTTTGATTTCACTTAGCATAATGTTTTCAAGGTTTATTCATGTGGCGGCATGCATCAGAATTTCTTTTCTCCTGATGGCTGAAGAAGAAATAACTCGGTGTATGGGTGGACCACTCTTTGTTTATCTATTCATGTGCAATGACATGTTTCAATTGTTTCTGTCTTTTCACTGTTATAAATAATACTAGTGGACATGCATGTCTGTTCTCATTTCTGCTCTCAATTCTTTTGGGTGTATGCCTGACCCAAGCCATGGTATTTTCAATCACCTCATATGCACATAAAAGTTGGACAATGAATCAGGCAGACCATGGAAGACTCGACTCATTTGAGTCATGGTGTTAAAGAAGAACAAACAAATGTGTCTTGGAGAAAGTGTAGTCAGAGTACTTCTTAGAAGTCCGATGGTGAGACTTGGTCTCTCATTCCCTGGAGCACGATATCATGCTTGCTAAAGTGGAGGGTCAGTGAAAAAGAGGAAGACCTCCCCCGCCACGAAATGATGGCACTTAACACCACCAGCAGCAATTGTATAGTTAACTTTTTGCCAGAGTATTTCCCACAGAACTTCTTGCTTTCCAGAACAGCTTTCTTTTTACAGAAAACATGTGCAGGAACTACAGAAAGCCCCATCCACCTGACCCACGTTCCCCCCTTTGTGAACATAACACTCTGTCACAGCTACAGAGCCAGTGCTGACCCATTATCACAAACTGAAGTCCATGCTTTCTGCAGAGCGCCTTAGTTGTTGTTTTGTAACCTAACAGTCTTTTTCTATTCCAGGATCATATCCTGGGTTCTACATTATATTCGGTTGTCACAATTCATTTTTGTCACAATTCATTTTTGAGGATGATAAAAAAAGAAAAAATGAAAGTTAGACAGGCAGAATAAACATACAATTCCTATCAGGTTAGAACATAAAATTAGACTGGAAAACAATCAATCTTAATAATTCACCTACTTAAAGTAGGCTGTTTGGGCTGGTGTTGGTGTTGAGGTTGTTAATATTAAAAAAAAAAAAAAAAAGCCAATTTGAGATTACTTTCAACCCAACCCACCTCTATTTAGGTCCTTAGGCTCATACCCAGCAGTGCAGCAGTGGTGAGTTAATAAATTGGCCATTCCTAAGTCAGCCCACATGAAAAACTCAACTACTTACTACTGACGAGATGGACAGAGACATGGCTAAACATGTTTTGAAGGTGTTGTGGTATGTTGTCAAGTGGATTCCAATTCATAGTGACCCTACAGGACTGCCCAACTGGGTTTCCTCAGCTATAACCTTTAATGAAGCCCACTGCCGTTCATTTTATTCTGAGTCATATTAACCCTAAAAGACAAAGCAGAATTGCCCCCAAAGGGTTTCTAAGGCACATTTCTCCCACAGAGTGGCTGGTGGGTCTGAACCACTCACCTTTTGGTTAACATTCAAGTGCCTCACCATTCAAGTGTCTCCATGGTTCCTTAATCTTGGTTAGGTAATAAGCAAATTATAAAGAAACACAAATTGTCAAATGTAGAATATATACTACAAATATTTTGTCTCTCAGTGTTGTTGTTAAGTGCCATGGAGTTGGTTCTGACTCATATAGACCCTGTGTAGGGTTTTTGAGAAGCGTCTGGTGAGTTTGAACCATTAACCTTGCAATTCAAATTGTCTCTCAGTGTAGACATTTAAAAGAAAAATAAAGGAATTTGGAAAAAATCCTATTCCATTAAACAATTAATTTATCTTTAAATAAGCAGTTTTTAAAACACACTTGCCTTGATATGTTCTAGCCAATGAGTAGACTCCAAACTGGACAACCAGTGAGACTCTTCTACATTAGGATAAACAATGTCTTTCACTTTTTTTAATGACTCACGCATAACATGTATATTATGAATGTCCAAGAAGAAAAGCTCAGCGTTTTGATATGCATCATCACTTTCATATCCTCCTCCAGTTGCCTAAGAAACAACAAAATATATAAACAGTAAGTTGGGTTTGCTATTTCATCAGAAACGTACACAAACATTTCATGAGTGAGTTGTCCTCCTAATTGCAGTCTAAGCCCCTCTACTTTAAATTCAGTCAATGATTTGACTTGACTTTCCGTCCAACACTAATCATCAACATCAACTGGATTCTGAGCTAGAAAAAAGATGGCAGGCTGGCAATGTTCTGGTGCAAGTTTTTCCCAAAAGCTCTCTAATGATTAGACCCAGAAAAGCAAGGGCTGGTTCTGAATGGTCCTCGTCCCTCAGTGATTTGGTAGCAGTAACAGTGGTCTTCAGGGGGAGGCAGCAGGCGTACCTGGCTTTGTAAAAGCTTTCACACGGGGCACGGTGGCCAAGAAGAAAGCCACAGACCTTGGCTAATAGCTCAGCTTCAGCACCTACTTACTGTGTGATCTGGGCCAGGGTCTTAACCTCTCTGAACCTAAACTTCCTTTCCTGTAGCCTAGGAGCTGACAATACCCATGTCTCTCAGTATGAAAGGAACTCCCACCAGCCAACACCGAATGAGCCCAATGATGTTTCAAGTACTGGGTTTCTTGCTTTTCATCACTTTGTCTAACTCTCATAGCAATATTGTACTTTTATGCCCATTTAGCAAATAAGAAAACAGAGGGTCAGAGATGGTCTCCAAGGCCCCACAGGGAATGTATGGATCTTCAATCTAGTCTAAGTCCCAAACCTGGGCCTTTTCTACCACACACACGTGACTATATGTCTGCTATGGAACCATTAAGGGCAGAGTGCTGTATGGAGTAGGCCCTGAGACTTCAAGAGGAGACAAAACGCTCACCCCTACCTAGAACAGGCCTTGTTTCACCTTTATAGCTCCTTTTCCATGGAGGAAAAAAAAACAACCAAAAAAATATGTTTTGGTTTTGCAACTTGGTTGCATTCTGTGTGTGTTTGTAAATGCCATGGACCAGTTCAGAGGCTTGTCAAACGAGTAGGGAATGGCCACAGAAACACCTGCCTGGAACCCAAAAGCATCACAGAAGTCACTAGACAAACGTGCAGGTGTGACACTCAGACATTTATCTGCCTTTTATTGGTCACAATAGGAAGATGCAACCAATAACTTTGCTTAGGTTGGTAAAGAGGAGGCACACAGGCCTCTGGGAAATCAAGCCTGGAAAGCCGGAAAGCCGTGTAAGCCAGAGAGAGGCCTTGGGATCCAAGACTCTAGGCGAGAGAAAAGGAACACATCTTACTTAAGTAGAAGTGCTTTTTTAATGCTTGCTCTAAATAGCAATCAATATGCATGTTGTTTGTTAAAAATTTACTAAACATCCTTCACTCCCCTGTCCCTCCCCCAAAGTTCCCCTGCCACAAACCACTACCAAGCTGTCAAGTCAATTCTACCTTGTAGTGCGTGACCTGATAGGATAGAGTCGAACTTGCCCACGGGGCTTCCAAAGCTGGAAATCTTTACAGAAGCAGGTTGTCACACCTTCTTCTGGTGGACAGGCTGGTGGATTTGAGCACTTAACCACTCACTGTGCTATGGTGGCTCCTTTCAGCTACTAGTTAGAAAACAAATGGACAAGGATACCCTTTCCCCACATCCTAGTCCACCAGGCCTTGGAAAGGTCACTGAAAAGGCCCCCATTGAGCTGGCAGGCCCTAAGAACAGGTGGGCAGGCCAATCCGAGCTCTGCTGGAGGTGCGAGCACAGGTCATCCTCCCCACAAGTGGCTTTTATATAGTCACGCTGCTTTTCAAAGAGATTCTGGACACCGGAGTTTCTTTTACCAAGAACACAAAATGAGAAGTAAGAAAAAAATAAAATAAAAGGAAAAACACATTTAGGACTCATTGCCGTTCCATCTGGGTGCTAGGTTTTACCTATGCCAGGGTTTTGTTTGTTGGATTTAAAATGACATGGTATTGCTGTGACATCTGGGGGTTGTACCTTTCTGAATATCCACAGGGGAGGGAAAATTAAGTCAACAGAAAATAGAAATCAGAAAGGGAAAAAGCAGTTAGTCAAGCACCAATAGAATACCCCAAAGTTCAAATTCGCCACCTCTGCTTACTTTTACAGTTTTCTTTTCTTTTTTTTTTCAGTTCTCCTTTCCTCAGGAAAACAAGAGCAGCCCAGATTACTGAGGCCAACAATGTCATAGGGCCAAGGGCCTGTTGCTATGGATATGGATGACTGCAGGGGAGAGAGCCAGCCAAAAGGGAGGCTTTGAAAGAAACAAAACAGAGATCTTTAAGACCTAGGCTTTCCCCTAGTTTCCTTTTCTACGTTCCTAAGAGAAAAGGAGCGAAACACGCACCGGCCGAGTGTTAGAAAGGCATCCAAGAATTCCACCATGGTGACAAGGGGCTTAAGAGTTAATATACTTAAGATATTCATTCTATATATCTTAATATTAAAAAAAAATCCCTTCCAATTACTTCATTTTAATGTCACATCCCATCTGTTGTTGTTAGGTGTCACAGAGTCAATTCTGAAGCACCAACCCCAAAATGGTTGCTATACTTGAAGCCATTGCTGCGGACACTGTGCCAATCCATCTCGTTCAGGGTCTTCCTCCTGTTTTTGGGATCTCTCCACTTTATCAAACATGATATCCTCCTCCAGGGACTGGCTCTACCTGATAACATGTCTGAAGTATAAGAGTCGAAGTCTCGTCATCCTGGCTTCTAAGAAGTATTCTGGCTATTCTTCTTCCAATACAGATTTGTTTTTGTCTTCTGGCAGTCCATGATACTTTTAATACTGTCCTTCAATGTTCTTTGCCGTAAGAACTTTGCCATGGTACTTTTAATATCCCCCTCCGATGTTCTTTGCCATAACTCAAATGCATCAATTCTTCTATGGTCTTCCTTATTCACTGTCCAACTTTCACTACACATGAGGATATGGCTTGGCTCAAGCGCACCTTAGTCATCAAACTGAAATATTTGCTCATCAATACTTTAAACAGGTCTTGTGCAGCAACTTTGCCAAATGTCATACATCATTTGATTTCTTGACTGCTGCTTTCATGAGAGGTGATGGTGCATGCAAGCAAAATGAAGTCTTTGACAACCTCAATCTTTTCTCCACCCATCATGCTGCTATTCACTGGTCCAGTGGCGAGGGTTGTTTTTTTGTTTTGTTTTGTTTTTTTTCCTTTACATTGAGGTGCAATCCATACGGAAGGCTGTGGTCTTTGAAGTTCACCAGTAAGTATTTTAAGTTCTCTTTGCTTTAAGCAAGCAGGGTTGCATCATCTGCCTATCACATCTTTCTCCAATCCTGATGCCACGGTTTTCTTCATATAACCCAGCTTCTTGGATTATTTGCTCAACATTCAGAATGAATAAGTATGGTGAAAGAATACAACCCTGGTGCACAACTTTCCTGATTTTAGACAATTCAGTGTTCCCTTGATCAGTTCGAACAGCTAGCTGCCTCTTGGTCTGTGTACAGGTTTCTCATGAGCACAATGAAGTGTTCTGGAATACTTATTCTCTGTAATGTTGTCCATAGCTGGTCATGATCCACACAGTCAAAAGCCTTTGCATTGTCAATAAAGCACAGGTAAACACATTTCCGATATTCTCTGCTTTCAGTCAAGATCCATCTGACATCAGCAATGATATCCCTCATTCCACGGCCTCTTCTGAACCCGGCTTGAACCTCTGGCTGTTCCCTGTCAGTGTACTACTGCAGCCCTTTTTGAATATCTTTAGCAAAATTTTACTTGCATGAGATATTAATGTTATTTTCCAATGATTTCTGCATTCCACTGGGTCACCTCTCTTTGGAATGGGCACAAATATGGACCTCTTCCAATCAATTGGCCAGATAACTCTCTTCCAAATTTCTTGGCATACATAAGTGTGTGCCTCCAGTGCTGCATCAGTTGGTTGAAAGAATTCATTTTGGACTGCATCAGTTCCTGGAGACTTGTTTTTTGTCAATGCCTTCAGTTCACCATGGACTTCTTCCTTCAGTACCATATGATACCTTTTTCAATAGCTGAAAATCGACCCTTTCTTTTTGGTACAGTGACTCTGTGTATTGCTTCCATCTTCTTTGGTTTTTGAATATCAGACAATACATATTGCTATATGAAAGAGAACCAATTTTAACTTCACTTTTCCCTCAGTCTTGGTCTGTTCTCATGCAAAGCACAATGCCTCTGGAGGAAAACGTCAACCATAGTGGTTAAAATGCACCTGAATAAAAAAGTCTAAATGCTAACAATCCACAGTGCAAAGAAACATGCAAACTCGAAGGGCCTGAGCTTGAGCCCAGGGGGCTTTTTCTGGGGCCAACGTCCCCTTGTCCCCTTCTGATCCATCTTCCGAGGGACATGCAGCCTGCCCCCCTCCCCCAACAACTCCAGAGGGAGTCCACTTGTGGAGAGGGGTGCCCATGGTGCACTCCAGGTGCACAGGGACATCCTGCAGGAGGGTTGGCACCCCAAAGAAGTCTTCTTCTCAGCCTTACAAACAATTGTTTTCAAATCATCCCACTGCGACATTCATAAAACCAAACAACAGCACCACACTAAAAGTATCATCATAATCAGTACATTTGGAGAACTTTATACATGCAAATAAAAATGTGCATTACCAAAAGTTAAAGGCCTTTAAAACTGACTATATTTTCAACAGTTTCCTTTAGATGTATTTCTCTAAGATTTAGCAAACCAAAACCAGACATTGTACTAGTTTCATCAACACTGCAGGACTGGGATGAATCCCACAGGCAACAATTGAATAGGCATTTGTCAGTTGATCAGGGGTTACTGCTCCTGGCCCCCTCCAGTCAGACTGCACTCAGAATGAGATCAGGCCCATGACTCTTTTCCTTACCGCCACCCCACTCCCACCCCTGTGAACTTTGCCCCAATTCCTGAAGGCTGTGTGGTACAAACCCACTGAGAGATTTCTAAACTGTCACTTCTACAAGAACCAGCAGAAGCATGTGGTTCTGAATGGCCTCTCAGTACCCCCAAAGGTCACCAAGGATCGACTTTGTGAATAAATGGTTACAACATTTTCAACAAAATCATCAACAGGAATTATTTTTGATCATAATAAAAAAATTCCAATTCGAAGTGAAAATAATTTACATAAAAGTCCTAAAAAATAAGTCTTCAAAACATCTCTTTAAACATATCGCTCTATTTGAAGTAAATTACAATATTTTACAGAGTGTCCGTGGGGTCATCAAAAGACACACACCTTTTACTACCACGTTGTAGTGCCTCGCTGCTGAGAAGACCAACAGAAATAATGCCACAACCCCACACTGCCCATTGGAGCCCCCATCAGCCTCCATTTTTATGGCCTTCCACACGACTTATTTAAAAAGATAAAGCTGTTTCATCTTTACTGTACAAGTGCAGAATGATATTAAAGGGGCAAAATTTGAGTTGAGACAGTTGTCAAGCCTAATCAGTACATTATTAAGGCAGAACAGAGAATGACCAAAAAGCACAGTCCCAGAGAACCACATGAAGCTCTGGCCATTACTATAGTAATGTCGGCATAGCACTAGGCTAGAGGCAGCCTTCTGTGGGGAGCCTGCATTGGATTGGCTAAACACGGCCGCTGTCCTGCAACAAAACACTTGGACAGCAGAGGAGAATTCTGTCTTAGCCTCAGAGGCTACCCATGCCATCTGGACCAGGTGTTGGTTACATTCACACTCTAACCCCTGGAGGTACACAATGACTATCTTGTGAGGGTGCTTCACATGGACACAGAAAAGGACCAGTTCTTTGAGAACTCACCTTTCATCCTTACAATTTGTTTTTTGTTTTTTGAATTAACATAATCTGGATCTAACAGTAGAGGCACAGACTTCTTTTTCTCTCTCAGGTGTTGCAGGCAATGAAACACATTGATGGTATCCCAGATCCGTCTTGGAGGCTCTTTGGTTTTGGAGGCCAGGTGTGCACAGGCCATCAACACGTGCTCCCTGGAATGCTTTACAAACAACTTGGTATAAAAGAACCACTGGAACAACACCGGCCCAGTTGCCATGGCCACTTGTGGCGGCAGGTGGCTCTGGATACCGGCTGCCTAGATGAGAGGGCGGTTCCATGTTGGTGGTGAGGTCGCTTGATATTGAAGTGAAGCTTGGTGCCTGGCAGCAGGCAGTTCTCCAAGTTCATGAGCACCCCAGAGTACAATCTACCCCCAATCAGCAGCCCCTGAGACCCACGGTCACTGCAGTCTTCTACAGGTGCCCTAGTTTCCTATAGATTTTAGAAATGAGTCCCTTGTCTGATATATCATTGCAAAAGATGTTTCCCCGTTCTGTGAGCTCCCTTTTTACTCTTTTGATGAAATCTCTGATGCACATAAGTTTCCAGTTTCTACTCTGTCCCAATGATCTATTTTGTCTTCTTTGGTTTGTGCAATTTTCGCAATGTTTCGTAGTCTGTGTGTGCCCTGTATTAGAGCCCTTTCAATACAGGGCATAGAATCGTTCAGTACTGCAAGTCAAGGCTTGGCTTTTTCAGTTCTTTCAGATTGAGAAATGTTGAGTGTGCAGTCTTTTGGTTTTCTAACTCCAGGTCTCTGCACATTTCATTAAAATATTTGACTTTGTCTTCTCAAGCTGCCCCTTGAAATTTTCTGTTTAGCTCTTTTGTTTCCTCATTTCTTTCATTTGCTTAAGCATCTCTATGACGGAGAACACATTTTAGAGTTTCTTCTGACATCCATTTTGGTCTTTTCCTTCTTTCTTGTCAGTTTGTTGGCCTGTGGTGGTTTGTGAGTTGCTGTGACTCTGGAAGCTATGCCACCAGTATTTTAAATACCAGCAGGGTCACCCATGGTAGACAGGTTTCTGATGAGCATCCAGACTAAGACAGACTAGGAAGAAAGAGAAGCAGAGCACTTCTGAACGTTTAGCCACTGAAACCCTTTTGACTTGCAGTGGAGCGCTGTCAGATAGCACCACAATATTGAATACTGAAACACTACGAATAGTACCAAAATACTGCCAGATATAGTGCTGGAAGATAAGCCCCTCAAATAGGAAGGCACTCAAAATACGACTGGGGAAAAGCTACCTCCTCAAACTTGAACTGACCACTGTCATGCAAATGTAATAAAGCTTTGGTGAACTTTATTTGCTGATGGAGCACAATTCAAAATAAGGAAAAACAGCTGCAAAAATCCACTAATAATTGGAAAATGGGATGTATGAAGTGTGAATCTAGGAAAACTGGGAGTTGTTAAAAATGAAAAGGAACACATAAGAATCGATACCCTAGGCATTGTTGTTAAGTGCCGTCAAGTTGGTTCCGACTCATAGGGTTTCCGAGGAGTGGTTGGTGAGTTTGAACCACCGACCTTGCCGTTCAAACAGACCTTAAGGTTTGCTTATCCTATGGTGCCACACCATGACACCATTCCTCTTCATTTGTCATTCCCGGCATAGAAAATCATTTGACTGTCAGACTCAAAATGGCCAATATCCTCCATTTCAGCTCACTAATCCTAGGCCTTAGTGAGTACACATGGACCCCACCACACAGAACACATAGCAATCAAACTGACTGTTGAAAGAGACAGTGGAAAGGTTCCATGTCATCATTCAAAACAAGGCCAGAGGCTGACCATGGAAGAGACCATCAATTGTTCATAGACAAGTTCAGGTGGAAGCTGAAGAAAATTAAAATCCGTTACTATGGCATCATTCAATGCACTCACCTTGTTGGCCACAGCATTGACATTGGGCCTTGCGTCATAGATAGTCAGTTTAGAAATTTGCCTATTAGTCTCCTTGATAACATCGAGATACTTCTCATCGTCTTTATTCCGTTTACCACTCATACCGACCAGAGGCTGACTGCATCGCACGATGACAGTCTTGTTTTCTGGATGAATCCAAGACAGCACCTAGGTAAGTTCAGACATTTTCAGCTATCAAGAAAAAAGAACTCTCAAGAAAACAATTACAACTATAAGAAAGTGAATCTGATTTTGTGAAATGGGATACTGGTTCTCCTGCCATTTCACTGTGTATGGACCCAGAAACACACAATTAACGGTGCCAACTACTCAGAAACAATCAGTGTAACAATCACTTATCACTGATAAGTGATTAGCACCACATCTACTAGAAATGAAATGCTTAAATCACCTAAAGGAAACTGAAAGCTTCTGATAAGATGCTAATTCTTGTGCTTGTACTAACTAGATCTGCTGTCATATATAAATCACTTTAATAATAAAAAAGGAGAGGCAAAGGAAATCATCTCTGGTACATTTCAGAACGACACCAATTCATGTTTACAGGTCATTTTCCAACAGCCTTAATTCTAGAGTATAATATGGGGGTATGGGAGTGTGTGGGTGTGGATGGGGGGCATATACGTGCAAAAAGATCCCCATACAATGAAGAGACTTGTCAGTCTGTATAAATGTAAGGGAGCTTAGACTCATAGGACAATTCATCAAGTCTGTACTCAAACTCAATCTGCTCTTATTTTTTTGAAACTTTTTATTGTGAACTGAGTGAAGGTTTAATAGATTTATAACCAACAAATCATACACTCTGTTTCATCTCAATGATTGCAATCCCCTCCACGTAACAACAGTTCTGCCGCTTCCTCCTGTGGTTCCTATTTAGATTCCACCCACCTTCCCAACCTGTCTGAAGCTTTTCCCCAGGTAAATGTTGCCCCCCCCACCCCGTTTGATCTTGAATGGTTGACCATTCCATGGTGAGTATGCTCACTCCTTTTATATCCAAGCTATCTGCCCTCCCGGCTCAGAGTGGATGAGAAACAACACACGTAAGGGGAGCTGGGAGCTGCAGCATGGTGGGCAATGGCGTGGACGGAGGAGTCAGGCGCTGCTCTGCCTTGTCTCTAACCTGGAACCCCAGTTCCTCTTAGGTCAATGGGGGAGAAAGGGCTGATGTAAGAACTGAACGAAGCACAGTGCAGGGCACAAACGTGCTGTGCACACCGGCTCACATCAGCTTCTGGAATCAGGCACAGTGGGCAGTGAAGTTAGACACCAAAATGGAAGAAAAATAATCACAAGATTCAGCAAGATACTGCTTAGTAGAAAAAGAGATAATAAGACACAAATTACAGAATAGTTGGCCTTTTTAAACAACAAATAAAATGCATGTCTGGAAGGAAATACACCAACATGTGAACAGTAGTCCTCACTAGGTGGCAGACCTCTTTTTGCTTATCAGTATTTTCTGCAATGTCTAAAATGAACACGGAGTCCTTGCCTGCTAAAGACTCATAAAATTAAGAAAAACTTACTTGAGAACAACAGAGTATTATTAAAAAACTATTAATGTCTGTAGGTCATTTCATTATCCAGTGATGCTTTATTATGTTGTGACCCTGTATAGCAGGGTTGGGGAACCTTCTTTTTGCCAAAATCTATAACATCATTCATGGGCCATACAAAATTATCAACTTAAAATTAGCCTGCAATATTTGGTCAAACATTTAATTCACTCACCCCTAATGTGATGGCTGGAACTGCTGTTGCCTTGGCAGGGCCAGATCAAATGATTTCAAGGGTTTTATACAGCACGCAGGTTGGATGTTATCCACCCCTGCTGTATAGGGCTTCGGAGGAGCAGATGGTGAGTTTGAACCACTGATCTTATGACTCATATCAACCTGAGGTCCAGTGCTTATCCTGCACCAGAACTCCATACCTTATAGTTTATCGATGTACAAAATAACAATTTAGATATATTTTTATCAACATTTTTGGTATTTAAAAAATAACCAAATATCAAATCGTAGTGACTCTGTTATTGGTGACATAACTAAAGGGACATACATTTTCTGGGTTTAACCAAACCTTTGAGATGTACAGCCAAGATCCAGGAGATTAGAAGGCAAGTTGGACAGAGCGTACCAGTTCTCTACATAATATCTATGACAGTCGCCTTATGCAAACTAGCAACTACCCCAAAGGAAGAAAGAGTGACAAAAAAGCCAAGACAGTAAACAGTTATGGCTGTCTTTCTTCTACAGTGGGCGCTCATTCGTTCAGGATAATGTGGACTCTTGGATCAGGATGGTGGCTGAGCATAATGGGTTAGACACACAGTTTCATTTCCTCTCCCTCCTTCACATCCCTTCCCCAAATCCCATGAAATCCTCTCAGTATGTGCTCACTCTCTTATACATATTGGATATAAAAGTTAATAAATATTAATTGAATGATTGAGTAAACAAAACGCATTCACACTCCCCTAGCCCACGTCTCCTTATGGGCAAGGCATATACTAGCGAGACAGTGTAGTCTCTGGCTATGGCACAAAAAGGCACATTCCAACAGAGCATGAAAGGGCTCAACTAGGAACCTTGGCACAGTGTTCTGACAAAATACATGAAGCCACAGGCTTTCAAGCGCAGTATATATCAAGAAGTTATGAGCAGGCATTAACAATTAGAATAGTGAAATTTGGAAGTTGCAAGTCATATTAGATTGGCATTAGACAAATATTCCAAACAAAAATCCTTTAAAGGACAAGACTGTCTAGGCTCAGAAGTTAAAGGCAAGGTGACATTAAATTTTAATTTAATGTCTTCCTTTAATCTTACTTAAAAACAAAACAAAACATACTTATTATGACACATTGAAAATAAACAGAAGGAAAAAACCAACCTCCGCATGTACACAAATCATGTGACACAGTAGACAGGATGCCATATACAGAGATATTTAAGGACCCAAAGAGAACTTCATGCTCTAGATTTGGTGCTACTGGAAGTATACTGTCATGAGGAATCCAGTTTGCTAATGACATTGAAGCAGTCTGCAAATGTGACAAAAATGATCTAATCCTAATAATGGTAAGCCAATGGCAATGCCTGGAGCACGGTAACTCTGCAGGATAAGCAATGGACTGTGAACCACAAGGTCGGCAGTTCAAGCCCTCCAGTCATTCCACGGGAGAAAGATGAGGCTTTCTGCTTCCATCAAGATTTACAAGCCTTGGAAACCCTAGACACCCCGTCCACTGTGAGTTGGCCACTAACACCACCACCAATAAGTTGTCAAAGGCACTCAGTCTTTGATATAAATGTTAATTGCACTACTCACTGGAATTCGATTTCGGGATCGAAAAGTAGCAACTCTCCTGAGGTCGTCGTCTGAAGCACGATATGGAACCACCAAAAGAGCAGGGTAAGTGTCACAGAGCTCGTAACACTGGTTAATAAAAGTGATCCTCCAATAGTGATTGGGCAAGCCCTGCAGGAGCAAAGAAATCCAAGTCAGTATCATACGACTTCGCCTCTTGGTTTGGCCTTTGAGCCTCATTTCAGGATCCTCTCTCTAGTGGAATGTGCGCATGCCTCACTGACCACAGGGTGGTGGCGGCCTACCAATTATTCATGACTTATCAGAAGCGAGCCAAAACAATAATCAAGACAACAGAAGAACACAAGACAAAACACAGGTGATTTCCACAATCTTGAAGAATCTTTGGCAGATACAGACTCTCTAGAGTATGAGAGATCTTCCTTTATTTCACATCGAGATAGCCTTTACTACGTGTATAATACAGATGACTCCAAGCCCTCCCCTCGCCCTAACCCATGGAAAAGTAAACAATGTCATCTTAATCTTTGTCTACTTGAGAATGGAAAAGAGATCAGGCAACTTCCTTTGCCTACTCAACACCAAGGTGAATGCTTCCATCTGCTCTCAAGTAGAAAGAGGCTAAGCTTATGAAGAAAGTGACAGAGGGTGGAGTAGGGAGAACCCCTCTGGGGAGGCTCATTTCGCCACCTCCTATGTGTCTTTTCAATAAAGTTATTCGGGACTTACGATCACCCTACAGGTTGTGTGAGAAATATAGTCATTCACATTCGAAGCCAAATGCTAGTGTGACAGGGAGACAAAGAAGATAGCTCCCATCCTACCATCTAACCACAAAATTGTATCTAGTAGGGACAAGATACAGAGGTGGTGGAATATCCTCTCCCAGTAATCACAAATCCACAAACACACACACACACACACACACAAAGTGAACTATGTGGGTGTTTGCTTTGGGGACAGACATTGTACCTTTTCTTTAGCTCTGGCCCTATAGACCACGGACCAGCGAACCAAACAGATGTTGAGTCTGATGCTGAGTCCAATTAGAGAGTTATAAGTTCCATCAGAAAGTTACAAGAAAAAAAGATTGAATATAATGGCAGTCTACAACAGAATCACGTCGACAGTTCATATATGCATGCAACCATAAAGTCAGAAACTGGTTTGTTTCAAGTCAGAAGTTTTGACCCTAAAAAGAGTCTTGATACTGTCAATGTTGTTGCGTGCCAAGGAGCTGGTTCCAACTCATAGTGACCCTGTGTAGGGTTTACAAGGAACAGCTGGTGGGTTTGTACCACTGACCTTACAGCTAGTAGTCCAGTGCTTATCCTACAGTGCCACAGCAGTCCAAAATTCAAGTAAAAATATTTTAACACATAATGCTATGGAGTTCTCCAAAATACATGTTATGTTTTAATGCTCCCTCTTCATCTTAACAGCTGGTCCAGAACAGAGGCCATTAAGGTGATAAGTAGGCACAGCCTTTGAAAGATGAATCGTGTCAATCTCTTTGTGGCAGCAGTAGTGTTCCAGAGCTCAGTTTCCCACCCAAATTCTAGTACATCAGAGTAGCTACTGAACACACGCACCACTGGTCAAGACTAAGAAGGGAAATCATCCACATGCTTGGTGGCAGAAATGGTAGCTAGAAGGTTCTTCGAAAGCTGTTTATCTTAAGTGCCACTGAGTTGGTTGAGACTCAGCAACCTTGTATAGGGTTTATGAGGAACGACTGGTGGGCTTGAACCACCAACCTTGAGGTTAGCAGTCCAGTGCTGCTTCTACAGTACCATAACTGGACTCCTCTTAAGTGTAGGGTTCTGTCATTTTTCATACAAAGCAGTTGGACTTGATTTGATTCTCAAGTTCATTTGACCACATTGTCCAACTGTGTAAGGAGCTCTGGTAGCGTAGTGGTTACGAATTGGGCTGTGAGCCACAAGGTCAGCAGTTCGAAACTACCAGCTGTTCCGCAGGAGAAAGATGAGGCTTTCTGTTCCCGTAAAGATTTACAGCTTCAGAAACCCTCTAACAAGGTCACTATGAGTCGGAACCGACTCCACGGCACATAACGACAACAACAATAAACAAAGAGTTTTGTAGAATGAGAATGATGAAGACTTCCAGTATAAAATTTCTAGTTGTCCTATAGATGTGGTTATCCCAGAAGTACGATGCTGTAGGATAAGCCCTGGACTGGTAACCACAAGGTCAACATTTCAAACCCACCAGCCACTCTCGGAAACCCTATACAAGCTTGCTGTGAGTCAGAACTGACTCAACGGCACACAACAACAGAGGTCAAAGTGTGGCTCTGGTTATGTGACGACTCTTCTTCACAAAAATGCCACAAGAGACCTTTGTTCCTAAAGAGCAACATTCTTTGAAGCCTCCTGCCTTTACTATAGCAACTCAGCATGCATGTCAGCGATGTTTCTGTAACAGAGCAGTACAGGCAATAACAACCTATGCTCATCAAAGCTTTCACACAAAATAAATCATCACAGAAAGTACAACTGAATTCAATTGAATTTGCCAAGCAGTAGCGAACTGAATTGAAAGCTAACTTCCAGTAATAGTTAAGCTCTTAAATATACAAAGAAACAAGAACAATTAACTCCTAAAAAGGTACAGAGCCCTGACTTTTCCTAGACAACAATTTCATTCATTTCCGAAATAAGGCTTAACTGATGTTCTTTATATAGGGGAATGAAAGAGAATTTAGCTACCAAGCTTCCAATGTAGCTTGAGTATGGTTATGGAGTGAGCGTATAAACGACATAGTAATAAAGTAAGGACTATTGATAGAAGCAGCTATATTTTACAAAATATGGATGACACTATTACCATTCAGAAGATCTTCACCAAGAGCACGAGCAACAACATACTGTCACGAGACACTGTTTTGTGATCCACTGCATAACAATCAACTTACCTGTCGTCTGTACTCTTCAACTGGGTCATAAACCAGCCATCCATCCACGTGAAACTTTTCTTCATTTGAAAATGCAAATAATGGCTAGGAGGAGAAAAGGTTCAGTGTGAAAGAACTATTAGTATATGCATTCTATTATTTCTCACACAATAAAGGTTACCAGATTTGCCGACCATGAAATCACAACGAAAACTAAGACTTTAACAAAGAAACATTGTAAAATTCAGACCAGGCCTACACAAACGTTTATCTTGACTAGCGTGATGCTGGAGGATAAGCGCTGGGCTGCTAATCACAAAGCTGGAGGTTCAAACCCACCAGCTGCTCCTTGGAAACTCTATACAGGGATACAGAGTAGCTATGACTCAGAAGGACTCTGGCACTTAAAAACAACAATTATATACTCTTGAAACTTTGAATTTCTATGGCTACAAACATTTCCTTCAGTCTGTCGTTTTACATGGTGTTCCACAAAAATCAGATTTCCAATCCAGAAAAAAACAATTCCTGTGGATTTTAAAGAATATTAGCATTATGCTGTCTTTTTCTTTCACAATGAAGGTTTCCATAAACCACAGGACTCACTTTTAAGCAAGTACTCTAAAAGCAATAGAGCAGGTAAAAGCCACTGAAAATCAAAAGACAATTCAGGAATGATTCTTCGATAGTGCAGCTGTTTCCAAAAGGAATCATGAAATGCTTTTCTGTTAAAAACCAGGCCATTAGGAGAACTCTTCATTAGCTGATCTCTGTGAACTTGGATTCCAGGTCTTGTTCCTGAACTGACCAGAGGCTCAGACTTTGCGTGGCTCACCTTCTCCATCCATGTTCACTGAAAACTGCCATGGCTTCAAAGACCAATTATCATGTGACTCCACACTAGCTTTTGCTATCCAGGACACTTTCTGAACTCCAGACTTGGATAGTCAAATGTCCACTCTACAACCTTACCCCCGAGCTGCCTGGTAAGGAGTGATGTGCCCCCGACAACCCCCCCACCCCCTCAAACAAAGAAAAAAAAGTGTCACAAATCCTAACCTCTGTGCCTGTGGTTGTCATCCCATTTGGCAATCAGTTGTCTTTGTTATGTGAATGGAACAGGATTATTGTAGGGTGTATCTTGAGTCAATCTCTTTTACGATATAAAAGAGATTAAACAAGCAAGTGAAAGCGGCACAGATGGAGGAAGAGAGCTGCCAAACCACATGGAGATGGCCCAAGAGCAGAAGAGCAGAAGAGACAAGGGCCTTTTCCTAGAGCCAGCACCAAGAATTTGACCTTCTAGACTCATAAACTGTGAGAAACAACATTTCTGTTTGTTAAAGTTACCACTTGTGGTCTGTTACAGCAGCATTGGAGAATCCTGACACGGCCTAATCCTGCATCTTGACAACTTTGCAATTAGCTCATCCAAAAGCAAACTCTTGACTCCCCTTAACCAATCTCGGTCATCCCACACTCTTCCCCATCCTTCTAATTGATTAAGCCCAAAACCTACAAATCATCATCATCATCTCATTGTTACCAACCATGGTTGAAAACCTCTACCATCTCTCACTTGAATGATTTCAATACCTTTAAGTCAGAGTAATACTGTCACAACAGAGATTAGGTAAGTCACTTCTCTGCCTCCAAATAAATCCTCCTGGGTTTTTCCATCTCGCTTGGAGTCAAAGCTGAAGTCCTTCTAATGACCTATGAGACACTTTGCCATCTGGTCACCTCCCCATCATATCTCTGCTTCTCTCCCTTACTTACTTTACTCCAGCTACCCAGGCTTTCCCTGTCACTCTCCAAATGCACCAACCACACACCCATTTCAGGATCTTTGTACCCGTGGTTCCATCTGGCATTCTAGAATGCTTTTCCCTCATGGCTCCCTCCTCCCTTCTTTCAGGTATCTGCGCAAATGTAGCTGTAATCAATGAGCCCTTCCCTAAAACCCTACAGAAAATAACTCTCCCCTCCTTCGTAATGACACATCACTCCCCTTTCTCATTTCATTTCCATAATTTCTGACCATTTGACATATCATACATTCACTTATTTATTTGTTGACTGTTGAACCTCCTACCCCCACACCGATCCCTCCTCCTAGACTGCAGGCTCCGTGAGAGACAGATACTTGTTTTGCTCACATCCTATGTCACCAGCAGAGTAGGCAGAACACATAATTGTTGACTGAATGAAAATGTGAAGCCCACACCGCTCCTACACAACTTTTTTTTTCTAGAAACACTGTGTCTTCCTCCAAGTAGCTTCCTCTCCACCCATTATCCTTCTGCTATCAGTCGGCCACATTGAAGTCTGCTGTTCCCTCCTCCATATTACAGTAGATTTCTGGAACAGCATTGCTAAGCACCAGCAGTTGTCTGTATTTGAATGTCAAGAGGTGTTAAAGTGAAAATGGATTAAGAACTTGCTTTCAAGATAGTTTTGAGCTTTCCAAGACACCAGGCACCTTCAGCTGGCCTCCAGCCTGGCAGCGCTAGGCCTGAGTGTTGTGTAGTTCCTGCTGCAAGGCACACTGACCTAGCTGAGCAACTGGCAGAGCCTTCTGCCCAACACTGAATCCACAGTGATGCTTAAGTATTCAGCACCACTGGGAAAACAAGCAATTCCTGGTAACTGAAGTATAACATATAGGACTTTTCTTGAGAATACCATTCAAATGTCTGGTGTTCTTTCTCTATAAACAGAGGCTAAGGCACATATTGAAGCATTTCCTTGGTGACGTAGCATCACACTAAATACCCAATGCTACACTGATCAGTACCTGGTAACTATAGCAGAGCACTGGACTGTTGACATACTTCTAGATGCAGGTGGTCTGACACATAGGGCTATGCTGACATTAACTCTAAAACAATCCTAGAATCGACTGAAGCTGGATTTCAACATGGTAATCATTTGTTTTGTTAATTGCATCTTTCTCATAAAGCTCAAAGGAAGAATACACGGTTGTATGAGCTCTGGGTAGTGTAAAAAACAACTAATGAAGTTGCGAAATCAAAGGCTCAGATAAAGCTTTCTATCCAGAAAATCGATCAGATTCAGAAAATACTAGCAGCATTTTTAATGCAACTTCTTATTTCTCCATCACTAATATTAAAAGCAACTCCATTTTTGCTTCAGATGCTATCTTGCATCTACATGAAAATGACTGGTGAACACACATTTATAAAATTATCTTAAGATGAAAGCAAAGTGGCCATGACCAACACCAAAATTCTCTCTGTCACTTTTCTCAGTATAGATGATTTAAGAGAATTCCACACACAAGCAACATTAAAAACATGTTCCTAACAGAAGAATAAGTCAACGTCCCTATGCTAGCTATGAAGTGGTATTACTCAGGAAATCTCGTTCAAAACAACACTTCACATTCGGAATGATCGCTAGGAACTAGAAACCTGTGCAGAAGAACTCTGACAGAAACAGCTCCCTATTAGCTTTTTTTTTTTTTTAAAAAAAAAAAAAACCTTTATACTGTGAATTGAGTGAAGGTTAAAAGACAAGATCATTGATTTTACAATCAACAAATCATAGCTTGTTTCTTCTCAGTGAATGCAATCCCTTCCATGCAACCACAGTTCTCCTGCTTTCTCCCTGGGGTTCCTATTTCCGTTCCCCCCTCCTTCCCATCCCTTTTCACCTTTGTCCTTAGGTAAATGCTGCCCTTTTGATTTGGAATGATTGACCATCCCACGGTGAACATACCTTACTAGTACTGTTGTCCCCCCTATATACCTATGTACTGCTTGACTGAAAATTGGGCGAGGGTGAGTGAGTTCCTTTCCAGAAGTGAAGGGTGGTCAAGCGCCACAGTCTCGGGTTCCTCTAATCTCTTTCTGACTGGTAAGCCTGGTCTTTGTTTTTATAATTTTGAATTTTGTTCCACATTTTCTGCCACTCTATTTGATGTTGTTACATGCCGTGGAGTCAGTTCCGACTCATAGCGACCCTGTACAGGGTTTCCGAGGTTGTAAATCTTTACGGGAACAGAAAGCCTCACCTTTCTCCCGTGGAACAGCTGGTAGTTTCGAACTGCTGACGGTGAGATTAGCAGGCCGATTGGTAACTACTACGCTACCAGTGTGATCCCTTTCAGAGCACTTGGTAATGGTACCTGGACTTGATGTTTACCTGCTGCACTGGACTAGTTGATTTCAAACAGCTTCAATTCTCATCACTCTTCTTTCTTCCACAGATGGAGAGGCCTGCACCCTACTCAGATGGCCGCTCATGAGCTTTCAAGATCCCAGATGCTACTCACCAAATCCCTACTAGCTCTTGAAGCTAAGAGCCAGGCTTGAAACTCAACTCTTATAGGAAAACTATGAACCACATAGTGGTTGAATAGCCCTAGTCTTGTCAGACATTAGAGCTTTAGGTGGAAAAGACCAAGGGCTCTAACCCACTTTCTAGACATTCAAATACATTTGCTTGCAATTACAGGATTTTTTTTTTTCCCCTCTTCTTCTTGTTAGCATTACCTGTTGACACTTAGGTTCTACACTTTCTTTAAAAATTAAGTTTCTCAAAAATGATTTTGCTCAGGTTTAAGAAAACACTCCAAAAGAATCCATGATGATATTTTGTGAAGTTGAATGTATCAGGTTTTACTTTCCAGGCATCTCAAATTTTGCTTTTCCCTTTAAAGACTTGGAGAACCAACCAAGAATTTTAAAACATAAGCTCTCAAAAAAGTCACATAAAAGTTAGTCATGATAAAAATGAAAAATTAAAGCAGGGATGAGAAAATTCATTCACTTGTACTTCATTATTGTTGGTCTTCGCTGCTGTTGAGGTGGTCCCTACTCATCAGTGACCTTATGCATAACAGAACGAAGCACGGCCCGGTCCTGCGCCATCCTCACAATTGTTAAGCTTGAGCCCACTGCTGCTGCCACAGTGCCAATGCATCTTGTTGGGGGGTCTTCCTCTCTTTTGCTGACCTTCCACTATACCAAGCATGATGTCCTTCTCCAGAGACTCGTCCCTCCTGATAATATGTACAAAGTACAAGACACAAAGTCTTGCCATGTTGACTTCTAAGGAGCATTCTGGTTGGACCTCTGCCC